TAAGAAAGGAGTTTACATCTGGTCCTGCAGTCTTTCCATATAGTCTCTGAAGTCCTGTGAGTCTCCCAGCCCCATGTCCTGGCAGACCCACTTGATGCTGTCATCACTGTCAAACAGGATGGAGTTGGTGTACGGGCCCCCATCCTCGGGGAGGATGGTGGTGTAGGAAGTAAATTTGACCCTCTTCCTCTTCGGGCCAGAAGAGTTTACAGGTACGTTTTTCATCCCTTTCTCATAGACATAGTCAGAAGGTTTGAGCAGCTGACTGTGGAAGGGCTTCTGGGAATCTCCGTTCAGCAGGAAGTTCCTCTCCTCGAACTGCAGCCCCCTGTCTATCATGGTCGTGCACTCCTCTGAGGGGAGCATGATGTCCACTGGGTTCTCCAAAAGCTCCACCTCGTTCCCAAGCCAGACCCAGTAGTGGCAGTGGGGGATGTTGCCCTGCTCGCTCACCACAAGCCTTTTGTGTCTGTACTTCCAGGCAAACGCCACACAGTTGATCAGGAAGACCAGGATGGCCAGGCAGAAGATGCAGAGCAGGGCGTACATGCCGATCTCCAAGTCCGTCAAGCCCCTGGAGGCCTCTGTAAGGTCACTAGGGTTACTGGATTCTGGAAACTTCCCCTGGGTGGGGAAGCTGGTGAAGGCATCTGCACCACCACTCTTGAGCAACTTCTTGTCCTTCCCCTCCCCAGGCAGCAGCAGGGTTGTGCTCCTGTTGGTCCTGTCCTCTGGAGCCACTCCTGGACTGCTCGCTCCTGGCTCCCTTCCCACTCTATGGAGTTGCTCAGGTGATCTTTGTATTCCTGGTTCACGCCCTCAATGTCATTGCTGCCTCCTTGGTGCTCCTCCTCGATGCTTGGTGCAAACCTGACCTTGATGCTTCCTTTACCCACAGCAAGAACACTCTTCCTCTTGGTCTTCTGGCAATGCTCGCTGATCATCATCTCCAACTTTATCAGGGGCCCTTGTCCTTCGCCCTCTGCAACCACAACTGGCCACTGGGACTGCAAGTTTGGCTGGACAGACACCACCATTTCATCCAATGATGAGACAGTTATGGAAAAATCCTTGGGATCATAAATGTCTAAAGGTGTCACGGAGCCACCACTGAACAAAATCCAAGAACTGACTATGGCTTCCTGAGGGAAACAAAATCAAAGCATGATCAGCTCCCTTCAAATTTATAACATAAGCAAGATTTCCTATATAAACGCTTTTAAGTATATGCAGAAAAAAATCTTCTGTTTTATAATCTTTACCAGTTCTTGTCATGCCTTGAACTGGCATCAATAATTTTCAGGAGCTCCCCTGGTATGAGAAATAAATAATAAGCTTTCATGAATGCACTAAAGTGTAAATTAATTTACTGCATGCCATATCAAAGAATTTGACTTTGACCTTTCTAAAAACACTTTGAAAGATCAGGCAATTTATCTGAATCAATTTTAGGTGCAACTAATCAGGCTACTGCTAAAGATAATATTGCTTTGAACCTTCTTTATTAGGAAGCCAATGCTGATGAAGCAAAAC